ATCAGCGGCTGCAGTGGGGTGTCCCTCTGGCCAGATGTGTCCTTGGGGTGGGATCCATGCCCCTTTCCTGAGGCTGGATTTGAAATCCCAGTCTCGAGTGCATGTGCCGCCGCTTTGATGCACACATGTAGGATAGATCTTGTCCATGGGTGATAAGACAAGAGGCACTACCGGGAGATTAGCTCGCAAATAAGTGAGGTGCTGGAGGCCAGCAGCTGGGAGAATGGGCGACCTTGGTCCTTGTGAATCTCTACCCCAGGACTTACGTCACAGACACAGAGCCACTTGGTTACTGGCAAATCTTACTGCTCAAACAGTGTACCAGATTCCAACATCCACCCGTTTATCCAACAAGTAGAGGTCAAATGCCATTTTTCGTTGTTCCCGGCATTGCATGAGTTAACACAGAAGGACTTTTTTTTTAACTTAAGGCTTGACTTTCCGTCTTAAGGACGTCTCAGTCTGCATGTATGTAAAAGAATAGGAGACAAACTCAGTGCTAAAACGCTTAAGGGAAAGAAAACAAGAACAGCCCTCATTTGTAAGGTCTGCTGATTTCCATGCGTCCATTGCGACCAATTTCAAGGTACCAATGTGACATGTCATGTCACTGAACGGGGTTGGGAAGAGATGTTTCACATTGGCTCTGGCGAGCCAGTGCAAGCTGGCTCCATGCGCCACTGGTTGTCCCTGGAGCCCTGGGGAGGGAAGACCCGAGTTGTCGCACCCCCTGGGTTGCACATGGACTGTGACCTTCACAAAGTCACACGCCATCCTGACGTACTAGCATTAATCAATACAGTTCTGCACATCACAAGCAATCAATGTATGTCTCTAGCTGAGATTTATGGAATGCAAAATAGGAGTGGTCCACCTCAAAGGGCTGTGTGCTCACGGATGCTCAACCGATGTGAGCGTCCAGCCAGGCTCGCCTCCCTTGGAGGCCCACGGTGAAGGAGACAGCTTCTGCGGTGCCTGGGCCTCCATCTGTGCATTCATTTCCTGAATTGCCCTCTCTCTGTGCTGGGCACTCTGCTGGGGCCCAGGGAGACTGAGGAGCAAGACAGACACAGTCGCTCCCTGGGGAGCCTACAAACACGGGATTCTGACGGCCAGGCCCTGGAACTGGTTCTGGTCCTGGCTCCATCTCCAACTTACTGTGTGGCCCTGAGCAAATCAGTTAACCCCTTTGGGCCTCAGTTTCTTCACCTGTAAAATGAAGGCGTTGGACTTGATGTTCACGAAAGTCTATCCAAACTCTATCTTCTGTGGCTCCAGGGAGGGAGGAGAAGGCTGGAAGGCAGAGGACGAAGAGGTGAAAGAGCTGGGCATCTCTCCATGGGAGAACAGCAGACGAGAGCAGCTTGGACCCCTGAAGATCTGGCATGAGTCCCATGAGAGAGGAGGGGATGTGTTTACTGTGGTCCCTGAGGGTGGAACTGGTGGGAGGAAATTATAATGGGAGTGGGCCTCATTCGGCCTCCATCTGGGAAGATGCTGAGCACAGAGCTGCCCAGCACCACATGGGCCGCCCTCTGAGGGAGTGAGCACCTCCTATGCGATCAGAAGCTGAAGACCACCTGCCTCGGCTGCACAGTCAGGACCCCCAGCAGGGAGGTCGTGATGGTAAGACCCGGAGTCCACAATTCTGCAGGAACGACAACAGTCATTGGGTCCCTGTGTTGTGTGGAAAAGCAAAAGGATGCAAAAAGGTTACAACTCCGTAAAACACAAGCGATGCCTAAGGAAAAAGGCTAGAAGGAAGGAAAACTGTCAGGATGCGACTAACGATTGGACTGGGATTGAGAATTCTGGTGATTTTTTTTTCTCTGTTTCCCCTTTTCCAAAGGTTTGGTAGTGCAGGGATGTTGTTTTTGAAACAAAGGCCGTTTTGTCCTTTATGTAAAGTCATCTAGTCCCATCCTGAGCCCAGGACAAGAGTCCCGCCTACAAAACCACTAACCTCTCCGCCAGGCCTCACCTTCCCAGAGGCTCCCTCAGGCCTGACACCAGGGAGCGGGAGGAGAGTGGCGTTGACGGATGCTGCTGAGTGCCAGACCCTGTGCCGGGGACCGAGCCAGAGACACAGTCCTGCCCTCAAGGAGGGGGGCCTGACCGGCACATACCTCACTCCGTCTTTGAAACAGCCGTGGGGGGGGATCCCACATCATTAAAGCAGTAGGTGGCAGAGCCAGGCCCGAGACCCAGGACTGGGGGTCTCCACTGCATGTTACTGGAAGAGCATTTCAAGGGTGAGGTGCCCTTCCAGTCCCATAATTTGATGGATGCTACCCCGAGCTCCTCTCTGGCTTCACTCTGAGCGCCCCGTCCCCTGCCCCTGCCCCAGCGCCACCATCCCCTTGCCGCCACCTACCTCTGGTTCCGTGGAGAAAGGCCTCGCTGTTGACAGGCTGGCAAAGGCCATCTCCTCGCATAAAAGACTCAGTGAGTCCTGGAGACACTTGGAACCCAGACAGAATGGAATTTCTCCCTATTTTCTTTACAGCTGAGAAAACACACACCAACACAAGAGCATATTTATTGCGATATTTCTATCCCAGAGTTTGTCTTAAAAAAAAAAAAAAAGAAGAAATAAAATTAGTTTCTCTGCCCACGCCACCCCTACCCCACCCCAGCCCTTCCCATGGCTGGTGGAGGCCAGGGAGAAAAACAGCGCCCGCCGAGCCCCACGGAGAGCCACTATGGCCCGGACAATGTCGGGCTTGTTCGGAGGCGAGGGAAGAAACACAACTCCGAAAACATACACAAAACTTCCCGGGAAGGGCGTTCTGAGGGGAGAACAGGCGGCCTTGTGTCTGGACACGGAGTCCCTGAGGCCCTGGGAAGCGGGGAGCCAAGTCTAGCCCCCTCCCCAGAGCAGAGGGGACCCCTCACCCTTTTGGCTTCTGGGGGACTGTTTCCCGGCCACGACTGGTCACACCAGGACTGGACGAGAGCACCACAACTTGGTGGCTGCTCACTGTGCCAGCACCTGGAGCCCCAGAGATTTGCTTTTGAAGGGAGCATCTAAGTAGAAAGATCCCGGAGGGGAAGCAAGGGCTGCTTCTGAGGGTTTTGGGGTCTTGTGGACTTCCCACAGGGTGTAGGGGACATGCCCCACACGTTTACCTCTGTACCCCCGGCAGCCCCCGCATACACAGCCCTTTCATGGCTCTGATGATCAGTATACATGGAGTGAATGAAGGATAGTGGTGGAAAGATAACTCCAAGTGACAGCCAAGGCCATCCAAAAGGGTCCCCCAGACTCCTGGGCCCTGCTCGCCCCTCCCCCAGGCCTTCCTGGGATGGGAACCCCAGGGGTACTGCCCTCACCCCCAAATCTGTCCAGCCCAGCTGATGGTGACTGAGCCCACAGCAATGCCTGCTGGGCCATCAGACTCTGACAGAGCCAACGTCCGGCCGGGCTGCCGTCCCAGCCGAGCGTTCCCCAGCCTCTGAGAGCTCTATTCTCCATCTTCAGTTCCAGGTCCTCTGTCTCCTCCGAGGCCTCCCCCCTCCTCCCTGCAGAGTGTCTGTGATGCACACACTTCTCAAGCCTGGACCAAAGGCTCCTGCTCACAGATGGGAGAGGGGGCAGGGGCGGCCCCAGCACAGGCCCATCCAACAGAGCAACTCGGCAAACATCATCGGCACATGTCATGGAGTGCAAGCCGCAGGTGTCTACAGCATGGCTGCACAGCCTCTAGCCAGGGGTGCTCCGTTGTGGCTGCACATTAGGCCCTTCTGGGGAGCTTTTCAAACGCCTGAAGACAAGGCTGCAGCCCAGCTGACCTCAATGTGCAGCCAAAGCCGAGAACCACCCCTCTGCTTGAGCTCTCGTAAATTCAGCTGGGTGTTCTTGGGGTCCACCTGCACCGGCCCAGCTGGAGTCAGGTCCCAGTGGTGCAGGCGATGCCCTTCACATTGTGGTTGTCGCAGATTTGACAGTTCTTCCGCAGAGGACAATGAGGAAGGCTTGTTTTTCTTGTTCACGTGAAGTCATTGTTGGGGCCAGCAGGAAGCCTGCAGGAATCCCAGGACCCCATTTCTCTCTTTAATTATTCATCTGTCTGTCCCCCAGCCTCCTTGAGAGCTCTCTGGGCGGACATCCTTCCCCTGACTTGAGCCAGGGCCCTGAATATTTCCCAAAACCTTGGCGTGTTCTCCGTTCTAGGACACACCAGATTCCCGCATTGGAAGTTGGCAGCAGGTCCGGATTTCGTCGGGGAGGTTGGAGAACCGTGTCACCTCTCTGGGCCTGGGGGATTGTGTTAGTCAGACTTCTGCAGAAAGACAGAACCGACAGCACGTGATAGAGATTTATCACAGGAGTTGATTAGATTCATTATAAGAAATTAGCTCGCGTGATTGTGGAGGCCTTTGGCAAGCTGGAGACCCAGAGAGTCGGCGTGTACTTCCAGCCTAAGTCTGAAGACTCAAGACCCAGGAAGACCTGATGTTTCAGTTGAAGTCCGAAGGAGGTTTGAAGGTCATCAGGCAGGAGGAATTACCTCTTTTTGTTCCATTCAGGCCTTCAACTGATTGGATGAGGCCCACCCACATTAGCAGAGCACGATGCTTTACCCGTTCTACTGATTTAAGTGTTAATCTCATCCAAAAACACCCTCACGGACACACTCAGAATAATGTTTGACCAATATCTGAGCACCCCGTGGCCCAGTCAACTTGACACATGAAATCAACCATCAAAGGATCCTATAGGATGAGCCTTTGCTGGTTGGAAGGGGGGGGGGGTTCCCTAGAAAAAGTCGGAGTAAGTTTGCAGCCTAACACCTGTAGTTAAACCGAGAAATCCGTAAGGGCTTTGTGAAGAGATGATTCTCAGAGAAGATTGCTCTCGAACCACGTACAGCCTCCTTATCTTGATGTGATTTCAGGTCCCCAGCCACGGTGTTTATCACCTTGTGTCATGTGTCCCGTGACCTTTGCCCTCACTGTATCTGACTCTCCACGTGACACGTCTGCCTCTCCTCTTCCAGGTGAACTATGACCACTTTACTCTTGGCGTTTGTGACTCTGAGGGTCATCACAGCGGCCATCTCAGTAGACGTTTCAGGTGAGGACCTTTGCACACACGTCTCATTTATCCACAGGCGCTGAAGACTGGATTCTGGGTGCTGGGGACTGACCCTGGTGCTGCCAGCCTCAGGTGTACAATTTCCCCTCTCCCAGGCTTTTCCTGGCCCTGCCCCTTTTCTGTGGAAAGGCAAGCATAATGGCCTCGAGAGAGCACCCATGCGCGTGAACACACACACATTCATCCAGGAGCCCTCCCTGAGATAGTACCGCTCCTGGCTGCCCTCGAGGATGGAGAGCCGAGGGCGTGAGCTCCGGGCAGGTGCCCACCATCCCAGCATCCTCTCCGTGGATCTCACCCAGAACCACCTCACGCAGAGCTTGGGCTGGGGGTGGGACGTAGAGAAGCCCAAAGAGAAAAAGCTGGCAAGGGAGGATGAACGGGAGCATCAAGGAAGGGGAAATCGCTTGAGGAACAGTCAGAAAGAAGCCCCCCACAGGTCACCACAGGCCTTTGCTTTTGCAAACGGTCCTCGGGAAGCCCGCTGCCTGGTCTCTTGCATGTGACAGGCACCGGGTAGATTTCTGGTCTTGAAGCCCTGAACCCAGTGAACAAACTGTCCGCTGACCCCAGGATGTGCTTGCTCCAAAGTGGGATGTCTCCGTTAGCCCCAGGCAGGAGAGGCCCCCTCTGACCCTCCTCCAGCCACAACACCCCCTAAAGGATGAGCAGTCTGTAGGGCCGACGAGACACATTCACCAGATCCATGCTCCCCTAGACCATACTCTGGGGATGCAGACACCCGAAATTTCCTGTCCAAGTGGACCCAAGCCACTTCCAGGGCCGCATGGGTCTCTCCTCTGGTCCATCCTCCTATGGGGGGACCACACCCCTGGGATGAGCCAGCCCTGGGCCCGAGGGAGGGGTCAAAGGGTGGCTGTTTGTACAGGGTGTGGACAGCTAGGGCGTGAGACCTGGGATAAACCCAGACCCTCACAGAGCAGAGCAGTGGTGGGAAAAGGAGCAGGGCTGGCCCCCCTCCTCCCCTGCGGCTGCCACATCCCAATGCAAAACTCTAAGGAATCCAAGAATTCTAAATTTGAATCCAGCTTCTCCTTTTGAAAGGTTTCGTTGTCAAGTAGGAAGATAGAATATATTTTATTTAACAATCTGTTGCCTTGATTTGTAACTTTTAAATATTTAGACATATGGCGTATGGGTCTCCGTTTGTACTCTGCTCTGGGACCCACAAAAATCCAGCCCCCGGCCATAACCTGGGTGGTTTGCCCACACAGACAAACCAGCTCTCCAGGGTTGGCTGGGAGCTTTAGAAACTGCAGAAGCTCAGTTCTCCACAGAGAGCCACCCCCACTAACCCCGCGCCGTGCTGTGCGGCTGGGGCTGAGCGTTCAGAGGGAGGTGTTTGTGGAAGGGCCTGGTACTGACTGCCCAGGACATCAGAAGGTTAGGGCTGGACCCCAGACATTCCGAGCTCCCCCTTACTTGCCCTGTTATGAATCCACCACCCACAGATATCTGAAACTTTTATTTTCAACCTGCAGGAAAAAAGGGTTCCTTAAGTGTATGACTCGACACGAAAGCTGCTCTTGTTTCAAAAGCTCTTTCTTTCCCATTCCAGAAAGATCTTTGACTTCTAACAGGATTTGGTAAACACGCTGCCTCTTCCCCATCAATATCTCTGTGATCTTTCATGGGGTCTAGTCATTTCCCAAACCCACCCCCCCGTCTGACTCTTTGCGGACTTAAACGTCTGATTCCTCTGAAGCTCCTGCAGCTGGGTGCCCCGACTCCCCAGCAGCAGGAGAGAACGGCTTGTCCTTCTGCAAAGTCGGGATGGACCCCAAAGCAGACTTCCTCAAGTGGGACACATCTTTGAAGTCTGGTATTTTAGCTTTAGAAGTTGTGTGGATATTTTTTTCCTCCCCCATAATAATTTTTTCTCCCTGAAAGTAATTTGTCCCAAAATCTTTCAATCAAGCTGTCACTCCAGGAAGATGGGTCCTGTTTATCCTGTGGCTTGGCGTCCTCTGTGGTACCCCGATTTGAGAAACAGAGAGGTGGTCTCAATCCTGAAGTTTCCCCCACCCTCCCCTGCAACCCTTTTCTGGCTCCGTAGTTTCTTGAGGTGCACAGACTGGGGATCTTGGGGAAGGCTGCTCTGGGAAAGGTTGCAAGGCTTCCTGGGAACTCCACATGGCACAGGAGCATCCCCGCCGTAGACACGAGCACGCTCATTGGATTTTGTCATTTCCGGAAGAACTGTCAGGGAGCCTGGGTGGTCCTCTCTAGCACTAACGAGTCTGTCTCCCTCCCCTCCTCTTCCCCACAGACCCTGACAACTCGCTGAGTGTCAGCATCCCCGAACCATCCCCGCTGCGGGTCCTCCTGGGGACCTCCCTCACCATCCCCTGCTATTTCATCCACCCCACTCACCCTGTGACCACCGCCCCCTCCACCGCCCCCCTCGCCCCGAGAATCAAGTGGAGCCGCATTTCCAAGGAGAAGGAGGTGGTGCTGCTGGTGGCCACGGAAGGGCAGGTGCGGGTCAACAGCGCCTACCAAGACAGGGTCTCGCTGCCCAACTACCCAGCCATCCCGACCGACGCCACCTTGGAACTCCAGAACCTGCGCTCCAATGACTCTGGCATCTATCGCTGCGAGGTGATGCACGGCATCGAGGACAGCGAGGCCACCCTAGAGGTCGTGGTGAAAGGTGAGAGCGCCCCCCTCAGGGATGTTGCTTCACCTGTGGAAAGAACCAGAATGGTATCCTCACCGGTGTGGACCCAGGCAGGCTGGCTTTCAGATCCCAGATCCTCCCACCCCCACCCGTCTGCACCTCGGTCAAGTTACTTAACTGCAGTGGCTCCCTCTGTAACGAGGAGCTGGTGGTATCGTTCTTTCTGGACCCTGAGGGAATTAAATTCTTCCTGGCCACAGTCACATGTAAGTGACAGTTCCTGCTTTCCAACAATCCTGTGACTCGGTGGGCCTTGTGACACTCCCCATTTTAAAGGCAAGCAAACTGAGGTCAAGTGACTTGCCTGACGATTCCCTGGAAGTGGGCCAGAGCAGTCTCCTGACCCTTAATCCAGGCGTCTTTTCCCTCCTCCACTTCTAGCACCCCATTCTCAGTTCCAGAAGCCAAACAAAAGGATGAAGACTGCCTGGTCCCCTTTCTCTTGATGGCCCAAGGAGAATGGTCGTGTCCTCTATTGGCTTCAGGACTAGGGGCAGCCCTGGATTTCTCCTGTTTTGAGGCTCTGTCAAAGATGGTCCGCTCCTCGGTGTGCCTTACACTGGGCTCCCACTAGGATGCCCCTGGCTGAAGATGCATGGGGCTCTAAATGTCTCTTCCCCCAAAGCAAATATGGGGTCCTGGAGTGACAAGGAAAAATTTTAAGGAGGCAGATTTTCGTTAAATTCAAAAAACTTTCTGATTATCAGAATTATCATAGGTGTTCAGAAGCACGCTAATGAGTTCCCCATTACTGGGGTGTCCCAGCAGAGGCAGAGGACCACATGCAAATGTGGAGAGGGGATGCCTGCATATCAGCTAGAGGCCTGGACCGGATGTCTCTAAGGTCCCTCTGACTATCGCCGTAATTCTCCGAGGGCCTCAGCGACGAGAGGCTGTGCCTGACCTGCTCTATCGCCCGCGTGTGTCTTGCAGGCATCGTGTTCCATTACAGAGCCATCTCCACGCGCTACACCCTGGACTTCGACAGGGCGCAGCGGGCCTGCCTGCAGAACAGCGCCATCATCGCCACGCCCGAGCAGCTGCAGGCCGCCTATGAGGACGGCTTCCACCAGTGCGACGCCGGCTGGCTGGCCGACCAGACTGTCAGGTGAGCTCCAGGCCACCAGCGGAGTGGGGTGGGCGATGGGCTGGAACGTTGACCAGCACTGAGCTGGTGCTGGCGTGACACGTGGCCGGCCTAGGCTGGGCCTGGAGGGCTGCCTTGGCCAACTCTAGGTCAGGCACCCGATGACCTGTCCCAAATCCTTGTTACAGGAGTTCCCTCTTATCCTTGGGGCATACGTTCCAAGACCCCCTGTGGAAGACTGAAACCGTGGATAGTACCGAATCCTATACGTACTACATTTTTTCCTATACATACGCACCTATGATAAAGCTTAGTTTATAAATGAGGCACAGAGATTAACAACAACAACCAATAATAAAATAGAATAATTATAACGATATACTGTAACGCAAGTTACCGTAGACGGTAGCAATCTCAGCACGTGATTTTTTCCTTTCCTTATTAAGTCAAGAACTTTCACTTTTTCACTTAAAGGAGCACTTCCTGGCCTCTCTGGCGTATCCACATTGCCGACATCACGACCCTTGCACTTTGGGGCCGTTATTAAGTCCAGTGAGGGTGACTTGGATGCAAGCACTGCCGCACTGGGACAGTCGATCTGATAACCCAGACGGCTACAAAGTGCCTAGCGGGCGGGTAGCATATAGGGCTGGACAAAGGGGTGATTCCCATCCCGGGAGGGAGGAAGTTGGACAGCAGGAGATGTCATCACACCCCTCAGAACAGCACACAATTTAAAACTTATTGTTTATTTCTGGAATTTTCCATTTAATATTTTCAGATTGTACTTGGCCGCGGGTAACTAAACCCACAGAAAGTGAATGTGGGTAAGGGGGACTCGTGCTCTGTCCTGCAGGCGAGTGAGTCCCTCCCAGCAACTTGACCTACATGCTCATTTCATCCATGCAAATGACACGTCATTATTCTTCCTACCCATTTTTCCCTTTGCCATGATTTCTTCATTTACTTTTTAAAAAACTTTGGTGCTTTATGTGTTTTTGTAAACCACCGTACATTCTTTTTGTTTTCAATAAAACAAGACTTACATAAATTAAGCTTCTAGGTGCGTTTCCCACCCCCCGCCCCCAGTGCCACTGCTGAGGGATGGGGTGCCCAGCAGGACAGACAGAGCCCTGCCTCGTGGGACCTCAGTCAGGGTGATCGAGCCTGTTAAGACAGGATGTGACAGTTCACTCGGGGCAGATCACCGCGCTAAACGTAAAAGCCAGACCCACCAAGCCCCTAGAAGAAAACAAAGGGAAATATCTTTGCGATCTTAGGGTAGGCAAAGAGATTTTAAGACACTAAGCCTACTAACCATAAAAAAAAAAAAGACAACAGTCTAGCATAGTCAGGAGCCCACACCTCTGCCTCAGACAGAGCTGGGCTCAAACCCCAGCTCTGACACTTGGAAGCTGTGTCACCTTGGACAAATTGTTTAACATCTCTGAGCCCCAGTTTCTTCCAGGTTAAAACAGAGTCGTTATAGCACCTGCCTCATTAGGTTGATGTGAGACTCAAATGATACAGAGTAAGGATCAGCAAACTGTGACCCCTGGGCCAGATCCAGCCCACTCCTCGTTTCTATAAATAGGGGTTTATGGAAACACGGCGGCGCCCACCTGTGGCTACTTCTTACTACAATGGCAAAGACGAGTGGTCGTGATGGAGACCCTACAGCCTGCAAGACCTAAAGTATTTACTCTGTGGCCTTTTACAGAAGAGGTGTTCCGGCCCCTGGTAGAACATGTTTGGTACCAATAAATATTCAGTAAAGGAGGCTGCCTTGCGTCGCAATACCTGTGAAAACATACATCTCAATAAAGCCGGGAAAAAAATTGTAAAACCAATAGTCCACATCTCCAGGGCAGACACGGGCAAACGCATCAATGAGTTGCCATTTCCTCCCACAAGGGAGTCAGATACAAGAGCACAGGCCCCTCTGTGCCCTGAGTGTCACATCCCACTTTGGATTCCCGGCAGGTATCCCATCCACTTGCCCCGGGAAGGCTGCTATGGGGACAAGGATGAGTTTCCCGGCGTGAGGACCTACGGCATCCGTGACACCAATGAGACCTACGACGTGTACTGCTTTGCCGAGGAGATGGAGGGTGAGGCCGCTGCCCCTCCCAAGAGCACGCTGCTCCCTTCACCCCACTACCACTCGGGATCACATGGGCCTCCTCTGAGGCAGGGCAATAACCCAGGGCACCACCCACTCATCCCGCTGTGCCACACCCAGAGGGGGTAGGGGCGGGCAGTGTGGGGGGTGGAAGGCGCCCACAGGTCTGGCCCCTCTCTTTCCATTTTGGAGAAGGCTTCAGTGGCCCCAGGCACCTGCAGACTGTCTGGTGTCACCACCGAGCCCAAGAGGGCTTGTTGCTGGTCTCTCACCTGGGACTGCCCCTCCAGCCAGGACCCCCGCTGCTCTGACCATCCCATCACTGTCCCAAGGTCCACTGCACCATCGGTGCCCAGCCCGGTCTTGTCACCCCCACAAAGGACACCCCAGGCCACTCCAGGGTGGACCCGTCACAAAAGTAGTTCCCAGGAGAGCTGGCTGGCCGCCCCCCAACCCTCTCTTTGCTTCCCTGTTGCCAGCCCCTAGCCCTTCCTTGGCGGTCCCCAATGGGCTGGTCCTGGAGAGCCCCAGGGGCAGCAGGAAGGAACCTGGAGTCCTGGTTTGTAAGGGCGCTCATTTTGGTCGCAGTCAGAGCTGCCCAAGCTACCCAGGCATGTGGATGACACCCCTTCTCCCATCTGTACCCATTCGCCCCTTTTGGCTGTCCAGATTCTGCCACCTCTGCCCACCACCCCCAAACCCTCAAGCTCACAGCTTCCCCCAGGCTGGGGGAGAAGAGCTGACAGCCCGGCTCATACTGAGGCAGGGCAGCCCCCAGCTTTCTCACCACCAGAGCCCACCTTCGTCACTCTCACCCCAGCGCCCAAACCAGTGTATTAAGTAACAGGCATGTGGGTTCCTGTTTTTGGCTAACCAAAGACCCATACAGCAGCCAACCAGAGCTGCCCCTGAGCGGGGACTGCCAGGACTATCCCCAGGAGCGGATGCCCACGACCCCACCTCCACCCCACACAACCTTGTAGGTTTTTGGAAATGGTAGCAAGAACTCAAAAGCCCCACTAATGCCCTCGTGAACACTTCGGGGCCTAGAGCCCCCAGTTTGTGAACCACTGCTCTGAGGGGTCAAAGTCTGATGCCCGCCTTTCCCATCAGAGTTTGAATTTTTTAAAAGGATCGATTGAGTGGGCAATGCTTGACCCGTAGGAAAGATGCCCCAGTGGCTGAAGATCCACAGCAAACGGCGGGGCCGAGATGCCGCTGAGGAGGTGGAGTTTCGGCCTGGGACTCACATTTGCCCTACGCTTTCCTGCCTCCTTGCCATTTTGGGTCCTCCTGTTTTAGGAAACTGATGCCGCCCAAAAGCCCACGGGAAGTGGAGGGCAGGATGGGAGATATGGATGTGTGGGACCCGGGCTTTGAGAATTTAGAGGCCAAACCGAGTTGAGGGTGCTCAACACCTGGAGGAACCGTGTGGATCTCCCTGGGGATGCAGGGCAGGGAGGTGGGGGGAGAGCCTCACCCCGCCGCCTGCTTTGTCCTTCACAGGTGAGGTCTTTTACGCAACGTCTCCGGAGAAGTTCACCTTCCACGAGGCAGCCAACGAGTGCCGGCGCCTGGGTGCCCGGCTGGCCACCACCGGCCAGCTCTACCTGGCCTGGCAGAGCGGCATGGACATGTGCAGCGCCGGCTGGCTGGCCGACCGCAGCGTGCGCTACCCCATCTCCAAGGCCCGGCCCAACTGCGGGGGCAACCTCCTGGGCGTGAGGACCGTCTACCTGCACGCCAACCAGACCGGCTACCCCGACCCCTCATCGCGCTACGACGCCATCTGCTACACAGGTGGGGCTGGGGCTGGAGGAGGGAGGGCGTCACAACACCAAAATTGGGGCCCAGAGGACGAGATCGTGGAATAGGGGGCTGTTTTCATCAGGGTCCACCGGATACCTGAACCTCATGTCAGCACCCGGCCATTTTCACTGCTTCCTAGAAGAGCTAACATAGTGTTGCTGAGGCTGCAGCGTATCCGGGCCTATCTCATTCGCCTAGAACAGGGTTAAAACCATGAGCTTTAGAGTGTGTGTTTTCTCGGGTTTGGATCCCAGCCCTGCCACCTGCTACTGTGCAACCATGGGAAGGTCCAGGCCCTGAGCCTCAGTTTCCTCATCTGTCTAATGGGAAGATGGTGATACCACATGGAAGATGGCAGGCGCCTGACCTAAGACCATGCTCCCACAGGAGGGTGCTGTGATCTGCCCTTTTCAATGGGATGACCTTAGAAGAAGGGCTAGTTATTGAAGAGTGAGGGGAAAGTTTTGACGGACACTTTATTTTGAAAAATTAGACTAAAATTTTTTTAAAATAAGATTTTTATCTTATATTTTATACAATCTAGGTTTTAATTACAATAAAGTGCCAGTTCTTGGAGGAAAAAAACAATGACTAATACAGAATTGCATAAATTTTATAACAAAATTGGCGATAGCACAATGATCTAGGTCATTTCGTGTTTAACTCTCACAGCCTGGTCTTACGTGAAGAGGTTATTTTTGCGAAAATGATTAGGATTTCCCCCAGGGCCTCTCTTAATCTTTCAATATTGTAACCATCATTTCTGAAGTAGTGACACCCTCATGGATTTTCTTTCCTGGTTAGTCACTGGCTTGGTTCTACCCGACCCTCATTCATTCATGACTGGGGCAGACAGCTCTCCCTTGTCACCTCCATCAATTTCATGAGCTCCTGCGTCTTTGACAAGAATGTTTCAGTTTCACTTTGTAACTGATTTTCTTTGTCCTGTTGGCTACTTACAACATCAGATGGTCAACAAGGTGCTCAGAAGACAGGTGAGGAGGCAGCTGGAGTTGACCAGCAGGAACTGGTTTTGTAAGCAGTGAGCCGATTGGCCGACGTCTTGTGCTATGATGACTTTGCGCTCTTTTGCCATCTGGAAACTGTGGGGACTCCTGTGATGAATATTCAAATAGCTGAGGACCCCAGCGTGGGCCCAGCACAGTGCTGTCCTTCCCCAGCAGGAGAGAAAGTAGATCCGATGCTCGTCCCCCTCAAGCCAGCCCCGGGCTGAGCCGCTAAAGTTTACCTTTGCCCCCTGCCCCAGGTGAAGACTTTGTGGACATCCCAGAAAACTTCTTCGCTGTGAGTGGCGAGGAGGACATCACCATCCAGACGGTGACCTGGCCGGATGTGGAGATGCCACTGCCACAAAACATCACCGAGGGTGAAGCTCGAGGCAATGTGATCCTCACAGTGAAACCCATCTTTGGCGTCTCCCCCACCATCCTGGAGCCTGGGGAGCCCTTCACGTCTGTCCCTGGCGTGGGGACCACCGCCTTCCCCGAGGCGGAGAACGAGACTGGAGCGGCCACCAGGCCCTGGGGCGTTCCGGAGGAGTCCACACCTGGCCTGGGCCCCATCACAGCCTTCACCAGCGAGGACCTTGTGGTACAGGTGACCACAGCTCCTGAGGTCCCTGGGCAGCCACGATTGCCAGGGGGTAAGTGCCCGGCCCGAAGGGGGCTGCATGCGGGGCAGGGGAAGTGGAAGGAACTTGGCCTGGGGGTCTATACCTGGGACCTGGGACTTGGGACCTGGAACAAACCTTTGTCCTCATTTGTAAAACAAGGGAGACACGCCAGACCAGTGACATTCCTGCTCCTTTGCCACAAAGCATTTCCTTCTAATGGAGTCATGCTGGAAACCCATGTACATATCAAGCAGGTCAAGATGCCACACTGGGTGTGGATCTAGGTGACACGGCGTGCAGAACCAGGGCTCTCCCTGTCCTTGCCCCATCAGGACCTCTGCAAGATAGAGCCACTTGAAACTACCGCACTGGGTGGCCCCTGAGGCCTCTCACGGTCTGACCTTCAGGACAGGGCTCGGCAAAGGATGGCCCACAAGCCCAAGCTAGCTGGCCCCCTGTTTTTTATATGGCCCATGAACTAAGAATGGTTTTACATTTTCAAATAGTTGGAGGGGGGAGTCAAAAGAAGAATAATATTCTGTGACACGTGAAAATTATATGAAATTCACATTTCAATGTCCACAAAGTTTGATTGGAACAAAGCCACGCCCGTTTGTTAACCTGTTGTCTCTGGCAAATTTAGAGCTAACATGGTAGTTGTGACAGAAACCATTTAGGCCACAAACATGTCCTAATAAACATGTCCATACTATGGCCATAAAATGTGTCCTATTCTGGAAAGGCCAGCCCTTTCCAGCCACCAAGTGGGATTTCAGCCTGAATTGCCCAGATGAATATAAATATGTCAGGAAGGAGGAGTTTTGGGGTACCCCCAAGGATGGCGGGGTCCCAGGGCTGGAGAGAGCCCCACTGGCCACCACATGGAAAGGTGCCAATGGGCAGGTGAGCTTCTGACACAGGACAGGACAAAGAACGTGAGACAGACTCAGACTGCAGATTCACAGCTGTGACATAAACCGGCCAGTCACCCAGGGACGTGTCAAAAACTACCGTGCATCCAGCTGAACGCAGAGAGGGAGGCAGAGCAGGAGGGGCTCGAGGACAGGGCTCTGCCGCAAGGCTCCAGCCCCTGGAGAGTCTGGCAGGAACTACGAGCCCACTCCCCAGAAATATGCCCTGTGCACACCAAGACAAATGTGGGGTGCACACCCACACAGTATGCCCGGTGCACACCCACACACTATGCCCAGTGCACACCCACACAAATGACCAGTGCACACCCACACAGTATGCCCAGTGTACACCCACACACTATGCCCTGTGCACACCCACACACTATGCCCCGCACACACCCACACAGTATGCCCACTGCGCACCCACACACTATGCCCTGTGCACACCCACACACTATGCCCCGCACACACCCACACAGTATGCCCACTGCGCACCCACACTGTGCCCCACGCACACCCACACAGTATGCCCCATGCACACCCACACAAATGACCAGTGCACACCCACCGTATGCCCAGTACACATCCACACACTGTGCCCCACACACACACACACTATGCCCTGTGCACACTCATACAGTATGCCCCATGCACACCCACACACTATGCCCTGTGCACACTCACACAGTATGCCCAGTGCACACCCACACAAATGCCCAGCACATGCACACACAATGTGCCAAGTGCACACCCACACAAATGCTTGCAGCCACTTTCAGGAGGACCACTCACCCCCTGAACCCTGGACCCTGGGCCAGGTGGAAGAAATGCCGGTAATTGTTTGATTTCTTCCTTATCCTTTTCTGTATTTTCCAAATATTCTGCAATGAATGGTTATTCTTTTTACAATAAGAAAAAATGCATTTGTTTTAAAGAGTAATGGGACAAATGAGCATCCTAGGAGTGAGGAGCCCAGAAAGGAGGGCTGGGGACACCCAGGGCAGAAGAGTCCTAGAAGGCTTTCTCAGGAAGATGGAGTTCAGGAGCAGTTTGAACAAGCAGAGGGAAACCGCTTGGCTGGAAATGGGATCGGAAGTAGGAAAGGAAAGAGGGAATGAACAGAGGTCATTCCTCAAGGTCCCATGGCTCACACTATTGCTGAGAAGCCTTGAGAAGCAGGCGCCGTGGGCACCGGCATAGTGGCACCGGTCCGTGCCCTGAGCCTGCCCCGTCTCTCCTTCTCGCCCTCTCCCCCCAACCCAGGTGTTGTGTTCCACTACCGCCCGGGCTCCGACCGATACTCTCTGACCTTTGAGGAGGCACAGCAGGCCTGCCTGCAGACAGGGGCGGTCATCGCCTCGCCCGAGCAGCTCCAGGCCGCCTACGAAGCGGGCTACGAGCAGTGTGACGCCGGCTGGCTGAGTGACCAGACCGTCAGGTGAAGGGCGAGCCGTCTCCTCTCCCCGCCCAAGCCCAGTCTCAAGGGTCAGGCTTGGGGAGCCACCACCTGGCCCGGCACCGGCACAGCGTGGGCACCCGCTGCCCTGTGGGTTAATTCAGTCACTGGTGGCGCTGCGGCCACTCCCTGCATTTCTCCCCAGAACCAAGGTGCATTCTGCAAGGGTGGAGAAGAGCCCTGGGGACATTAAGTCCTTGGTCATTTCCCGCCAAGAGACAGAGGGGGAGATCCCCTCATCAAGCCCGTGGTACCCTCCAGCTTCAGCCAGTGCCCTTCCACATAGCAGACTCTCATCTGAAGCCAGAAATCCTCGGGGCCCCAGACCCTTCCCCCAGCTGCTCAGGGGCCTTGCTGCACAAGGGTTGGACTCCTGGTTTGAGTTCCACTGGACACGGAAGGCAGGCCCTGCCCGAGTTCCAGCGTGTCCTGCCAGCCTAACCCTGGGCTGCATCCTCCATCCCCCAGAACAGGCCCTCATTCTGCCCCTCTCACCCTCCTTTGCAGATACCCCATTGTGAGCCCCCGGACCCCATGTGTGGGCGACATGGACAGCAGCCCGGGGGTCAGGACCTACGGCGTGCGGCCCTCATCGGAAACCTATGATGTCTACTGCTACGTGGACAGGCTCGAGGGTACAGGCCCTGTTCTCACATTTGGGGCCCCAGACAGGCAGGGGGCTTATGGGGGGACACAACGAGGAGAGGGCATTACCTTCACCCCAGCCCCGGTCCCACCCAGCCTTCCCCAGGGGAAAGGACCCTGCTTCAGAAAGAGGATGCACCCACCCCCTCAGGTCAAGCCCTTTCTTTCCCTCCCAGATGGTCCGTGTGGATTCTCCCAGCATTGCAGGGGAGTGCTTGCTCCTTCAAAAAAACAATGAGTTCTGGGGCTGGCCCGGTGGTCTAATGGTTAAGTTCACACTCCGCTTGGGGGCCCCAGGTTCACGGGTTGGGATCCCGGGCACAGACCTACTCCACACATCAGCCATGCTGTGGTGGCATCCCACATACAAAATATAGGAAGGCTGGCACAGACGTTAGCTCAGGGCTAATCTTCCTCACCAAAAAAAAAAAAAAAAAAAAAAGTTCTGTAGATAAATAAATCAATTTATTTATTTATTATAAATAAGTGTTATATACATCATCTGCCTCGTGGAGAGTCCCAGTGCCCATGAACAAGTCAGACTCTGAGAAGTCCTGCAGGAAGAAGACCTCTAACTCTGCTTAACCAAGGCTCGCCCAGCTTCTTTAACCACAGACCCTTTATTTTGTTTTATTTCATTTCTTTTAACGTCAATTAAAATCACCAGATTACAATTCCACTGAACCCAATTTTGGAAATGCTGCTGTTCTGGAAAGATTTCAGCATTTCTGCCCACTTGTTTCAGGACATGGGCAAGTCACTTCAACTCTCCAGGCCTCAGCTTCCTCATCTTAGATTGGGGCTGATCTATGCTCCTATCAGAGGCCTTGTTGAGTATTCCATGAGATAGGTGTGAAAAGTGCCTGGCACAAGTAGGTGTTCAGGAAGCGTGAACTTCCTTTCCCCAAATCAGATAGGCCCCGCCCCTACCGGTTCACAAGATGGGGTGGGGTGGGGGGCGGCAGGGGATGGGAGGGTGGCTGGGGAGGGAGGGCCTCTCTTGGCCAGGGGAGGGGTGCCCAAGGCTGCCTGGGGACTGGGGAAAGGAGCGGCTGTCGTTTCCGTGCAGAGTCCCCAGCTCATCTCAGCCCGGCTGCCCTGCCCTTGCGTGAGCAGAGGCTGCTCTGGCCCTGGGCCCAAGGGGTCACACGTGCCACCTGCCTCTGTCCCCAGGGGAGGTGTTCTTCGCCACACGCCTGGAGCAGTTCACCTTCCGGGAAGCCCTGGAGTTCTGTGGGTCCCACAACGCCACCCTGGCCACCACGGGCCAGCTCTATGCCGCCTGGAGCCGCGGCCTGGACAAGTGCTACGCCGGCTGGCTGGCAGACGGCAGCCTGCGCTACCCCATCGTCACCCCACGACCCGCCTGTGGTGGGGACAAGCCAGGCGTGAGGACCGTCTACCTCTACCCCAACCAGACAGGCCTCCCGGACCCACTGTCCCGGCACCACGCCTTCTGCTTCCGAGGTACACGTCCTTACCTGTCCTCCAGAACCCACTTCTGCCTGGGGGTGACTCCCATGGGCTCACCCCTCCTGGCCTCTGTCCACTCTCCCCATCCATCAGAGAAAGGAGAAAAGAGTCAGCCCCTGTGGGGCAGGGGCAGCTCTGGAGCTAGCATGACCTTAAGCTTTGACCCCAAGGCAACTCCGTCCTTCTAAAGTTCCCCAGAGACAAGTAGAGAGAGGTGAGTAGGAACTTGGGGCTCTAAAATCAGGCAGTCCTGAGTTTTAATTATGGTTCTGCTGCTTCAGGACTATGTGACCCTCGGCAAGTCACTTAACCTCTCTGTTCCTCCAATTCATCTATAAAACAATGATAATAGCTGCTACCTCAAAGAGTTGCTGTAAGGATTAACTGACAGGGTGCATATAAAACACTGGGCATAGTGCCTGGGACATAGTAAATGGACTCAATAAATGTTAGCTTTATTATTATAAATAAATGACACGTACTGTTTCAGTGTGTATGCCCTTGTCAGATGTCCTCCTGCTTCTAAATATTTTTTTTCGATGAGTTCTGTCAGATTAGTCTATTCTTCACTAAGCCCCAGAAATTCATGCTTTTGATTGGCCCATGCTGGGGGACCCACTGCGGCCGTATCACCATCATTACGGGTGAGAGTTCTGAGAGTGACATCATCGGACAACTCAGTGGGCGTGGCCAGGGAGTGGCCAAGACATTGCTGGGCTCTGATTGGATGAGTTCTCACAGGGTCCGCGGGTCGGGTGCGCTGACCAGGACATAGATTGTAGTAACAGCTTGTGTCCCGATGTACATATTATACATCAAAACTGACTGGTCTTTGTAACTTCCGGTGAAGCTGTAGTTATTCCAAAATAAAGTTAATATTGAATAAACCCTGAGCATCCCCAGGTTTCCCAGATTGCCAGGGTCGCGGTTTAAAATCCAGTTCAAAGAAAGTGCAGCCCCCCTCCGCCAGCCTCAGGAAGGCCAATCCCCAGCCCCGCCTGGGGATTTGATGAGGCCCCTGCAGCATCTGCCCAGAGCGGCAGAAGCCACGCCAGTCAACCTCCTAGTGAATTCTCGGTCATGCACCCCCCACCCGACCCCACGTGATCCCAGCCTTTTCTATAAATGCAGACAAGTTCAGCTTCCTTCCCGACCAAGCCGCCTGCCGGTTCCCCTGAACCACAACAGGTACCCCCAGTCGGTGAATCCTGCCTTACCCCTTCCAGTGCTGGGGCGGCTTCACGGGATCTAAACAGAACCTTCCTGCTTTTGGTCCCGACACACTTGGAACATAACTTCTGTCCCCAGGAAAGGCAGCCTCACGCAGCAGCTGAGAGCGTGGCATCTGGCATCAGATACTTGGATTCAAAGACTAGATCTGCCACTTATAAGCCACTGACCCTGGGCAAGTCACTTAACTCTGTGCCTTAGCTTCCCCATCTGTAAATGCCATAATGGTGTCTAGCTCCTAAGGCTGTTGTGAGATAAAATGATCTTACATACGTAATGCCTTTAAACAAGCCCTGGCAGGTGTGACGGATTCTGCAGAAGCAGTGCCCCAGACCACCTGAAATAAAGTGCTGATGGAGTGCGCAAATCGATATTGTGTAGCTGATGCAAACGGCTCTTATAAATTGAGGAGGCCAAGAGCTGTCTTGCTGGATGTGGACGGGGGTGTAGGGAGGGGCTCGAGGCCCAGCAAGGCTTTTGCACAGGCCTGGCCCACCTCAGAGTCCCCTAGCTCTCCTCGAGAAGGGCCAGCCTTGGGTGGGTCACTGGTAAGGAGGAACCTTCACCACCTACATCCCCTTCAGGTGTCTCAGTGGCGCCGTCTCCAGGAGAAGAGGAGGCTGGCACGCCCACACTGCCCTCAGGCGTGGAGGACTGGCTCGTGACCCAAGTGGCGCCTGGCGTGGCTGCTGTCCCCTTAGGGGAGGAGACGACAGCAATTCCAGCCTTCACCGTTGAGCCAGAAAACCAGACAGAATGGGAACCAGCCTACACGCCACTGGCTGCATCCCCACTGCCAGGTTCGTATGGCTTGGGCGCTGGGGCGTGTCCTGAGGCCACACACCCCTGTCCGCCCGGGGTGTGTCCTGGGCATGGCTTCTCCCCCTAGCTGTGCTTCCCCAGCCCTGACACTACCTGGGCATGCTGCTGCGGGCGACTTCAGCCCCCTGGGCGGGCCTCTAGGACCTCCCGTGCGTGAGAGAAAGGGCACGGGTGGTCTTGTTCGGAAACATTCTCCTTCTCTCCCTCCTCATTCACTGTCCCCTTTCCTTTATTTCTCCTGCCTGCACACCCCATTGCCCATCCTGTGCCAATGAGAGGGCCATGACTCTGTCCCCCTGCATTCTCACCCCGGCCCCATCATCCTTTAAAATCTCCCTATAGGAGGATCCTCAATCGAAGGAAGGGCCAGGAGCGGTCATTGTTGAAGTCTGACTGTGACCCGTCCCCTGGCCTTTCTCCTCCTTTCCTGTCCCTCTTCTGGGGCCAGCCTGCCCAACCGGAGCTTCCTGAGCTCCAGCTGTCATGGTCAGATCAGACGGGACTTGATAGATAGGATGAAAGCAGCAGCCTTCCAACCCTGTTGGAAAAAGGGTTTTGTGGCCATAACGTTTGGGAAACGCTGAAGTACAGAAAGATCAATAGGTTTCCTGGCTGCAGACCTTCTCAGAGCTTTGAATATGTTAACGTGCACTGTAATGCAGAGCAGGGGAGGTATTCTGTCCCCAAAGAATCTGACCACAGGGCCTTTCTTTCTTGGAACAATTTTAACATCGCCCAGTTTGGATCAGTCTGAATTAAAGCAGTGTGCGGTCACGTGTGCGTGCCTAGTAGGGTCAGCTCACCCAGGGGCGTGTGTATTTGAAGAAAAGGGTGCGTCAGAGCTTCTCAGTAATTCCCCCAGTCACCCGTCCAGTGCATGGACAATTCGCTGAACTGGGCGCTCCTCTGGGTGCTGGCAGTGCAACGCCTGGCCCCTTCCATGCCAGGAGGTGGGTGTGCGTGGGTGGAGCCGGTGGGCTTCTGGCCCAGAGACCTCACCAAGAAGCCACTCCTGCCCGTGGCCCTTTCCTCGCCCTTCTCCAGGACAGGAATAGCTGAGTCCTCTTTGGCATGAGTAGGTGGCTTGGCAGAAGACTCTGGCAGCCACGGGTGGGAGTTATCCATGGGAAGGGGCTCAGGGGCCCAGAGAAATGTTCTCCGAGCTTCAGCTTCCAACCATCTTGCTGATTTCGACCATATCTGGGAACCATCTGTACTGTTGTTAACTCTACGTCTTTTTCTTTAAATTGACTTGCTTTAAAAAAGAAACCTAAATTTGTTTAAAGGAGAAATGTTATATCCTGACTGTAAGTGGCCATCCCTGGGTGTTTCCCACCTAAAAATCCTCTTGCATGCCCCCACCGCCATACTGAGCTGCCCACCCTGCCAGGATTCTCCTCCAAGCAAGGGTAAACTGTGGGCCTGCCCAGAGGGGTCCGGCAGCCTCTGCGCCTGGCTTCTCCACCTGGGGAAATCAGCCCAAAAGTCCACACAAGGTACAGTGCCAGCTAGGTTATTTTTTAAATGCCAAAGGAGACAAGATGGAAAGAAAATAATGTAACCATAATTATTTTAAATGATGGAGTTTTCTTTTTCTCTCTGTTTTCCAAATCCTCTGTAATAGGTTTTCAGAATAGAAAATGTTGGTATATTTTTGCAAACAGCAGCGCCTGGCCCTTCCTGGCCCACAGGAAACGGGTTAGATGAATAATTGTCACACTCCCTGGGGCTATGTCCCATGGGACTCATCATAAAAAAAATAAGAGAGGGTTGGAAGGCCGGCCCCATGACCAAGTGGTTAAAGTTACGCATGGTCTGCTTCAGTGGCCGAGGTTCGCAGGTTTGGATCCTGGGCACAGACCTCCTCCACACATCAGCCAGGCTGTGATGGCATGCCACATATAAAATAGAGGAAGATTGGCACAGATGTTAGCTCAGGGCGAATCTTCCTCACCAAAAAAAAAAAGAAAGAAAGAAAGAAAAGCAAATTCTCAAATCCTACCCAAGCCCCACTGAATCAGGGACTGTGGGGTGAGCCCAGCATGCTGTGTTTTCACAAGCCCTCCCAGCGATGCTGATGCTCACCTGAGTGTGAGAATTCGCTTTTCTATCAAGCTCCCAGGAGATGCTGGTGCAGCTGGTCCAGGGACCACACTTTGGAAACCGTGGGTTTAGATAAATGAGAGTTGATGTGGAGTACTTGAAAGGTGACCAAGACTGCCCTCAAGGGTAGCCAGGCCCCCACATCCCATGGGTTGTGTGAATGGCGCCCCCTCTAGACTCTAGTCTCAGAAAGTGCAGCCTGAGGGTGGCGGGAAGTTTGCAGGCCTCCCCACTCCCTCTATCCCTTCCCAGGGTGCTCTCTTCCAGAAGGAGGGTTCCGTTAGAAAATGCTTGAACGTGTCTCTGAGGTCTTGAGAGAAAAGTTTCGCTTTGGAAGGAGTAGAGTTCAGCTTCTCTGCTTAAGCTTCAAATGGAGCAGTTTCTAATCCCACACCTCTCTTCCGTCTTCCTTTCTTCCAGGGATTCCTCCTACGTGGCCTCCCACAAGTGCAGCAACAGAGGAGAGCACAGAAGGCCCCTGGGCCACGGAAGTGCCCTCGGCCTCGGAGAAGCCATCCCCCTCGGAGGAGCCGTCCACGCTTTCAGCCCCAGTGCCCATCGAGACGGAGCTGCCAAGCCCTGGGGAGCCATCGGGGGTGCCTGAAGTCAGCGGTGACTTCACAGGCAGTGGAGAAGTTTCAGGACACCTGGACTTCAGGGGGCAGCCCTCAGAGGGAAGTGTAAGTGGACTGCCCTCTGGAGACCTTGACTCCAGTGGTCTTATCTCTGCAGTGGGCTCAGGCTTGCATGTGGGCAGTGGACTGGCCTCAGGAGATGAAGATAGAATTAGGTGGTCCACGACTCCTGCAGTTGGCTGGCTGCCCTCTGGAAGCGAGGGCCCAGAGCCCACTGCTTCTGGAGCAGAGGACCTCAGTGGACTTCCTTCTGGAGGAGAGGTTCATCTAGAGCCCACTGCCTCTGGAGTAGAGGATCTCAGTGGACTTCCTTCTGGAGGAGAGATCCATCTAGAGCCCACTGCCTCTGGAGTAGAGGACCTTGGTGAACTTCCTTCTGGAGGAGAGATCCATCTCGAGCCCACTGCCTCTGGAGTGGAGGACCTTGGTGAACTTCCTTCTGGAGGAGAGGTTCATGTTGAGCCCACTGCCTCTGGAGTAGAGGATATCAGTGGATTTCCTTCTGGAGGAGAGGTTCATGTTGAGCCCACTGCCTCTGGAGTAGAGGATCTCAGTGGACTTCCTTCTGGAGGAGAGATTCATCTAGAGCCCACTGCCTCTGGAGTAGAGGACCTTGGTGGACTTCCTTCTGGAGAAGAGATTCATCTAGAGCCCACTGCCTCTGGAGTAGAGGATATCAGTGGATTTCCTTCTGGAGAAGAGGTTCATCTTGAGCCCACTGCCCCTGGAATAGAGGATCTCAGTGGACTTCCTTCTGGAGGAGAGATTCATGTTGAGCCCACAGCCTCTGGAGTAGAGGATATCAGTGGATTTCCTTCTGGAGAAGAGGTTCATCTTGAGCCCACTGCCTCTGGAGTAGAGGACCTCGGTGGACTTCCTTCTGGAGGAGAGATCCATTTAGAGCCCACTGCCTCTGGAGTGGAGGACCTCGGTGGACTTCCTTCTGGAGGAGAGATTCATCTTGAGCCCACTGCCTCTGGAGTAGAGGACCTCGGTGGACTTCCTTCTGGCGGAGAGATTCATCTGGAGACTACTCCCTCTGGAGCAGAGGACCTTGGTGGACTTCCTTCTGGAGGAGAGATCCATCTCGAGCCCACTGCCTCTGGAGTAGAGGACCTCGGTGGACTTCCTTCTGGAGGAGAGATCCATCTCGAGACCACTCCCTCTGGAGTAGAGGACCTCAGTGGACTTCCTTCTGGAGGAGAGATCCATCTCGAGCCCACTGCCTCTGGAGTAGAGGACCTCGGTGGACTTCCTTCTGGAGGAGAGATCCATCTCGAGCCCACTGCCTCTGGAGTAGAGGACCTCGGTGGACTTCCTTCTGGAGGAGAGATTCATCTAGAGCCCACTCCCTCTGAAGTAGAGGACCTCGGTGGACTTCCTTCTGGAGGAGAGATTCATCTCGAGCCCACTGCCTCTGGAGTAGAGGACCTCGGTGGACTTCCTTCTGGAGGAGAGATTCATCTCGAGCCCACTGCCTCTGGAGTAGAGGACCTCGGTGGACTTCCTTCTGGAGGAGAGATTCATCTCGAGCCCACTGCCTCTGGAGTAGAGGACCTCGGTGGACTTCCTTCTGGAGGAGAGATTCATCTAGAGCCCACTGCCTCTGGAGTAGAGGACCTCGGTGGACTTCCTTCTGGAGGAGAAATCCATCTCGAGCCCACTGCCTCTGGAGTAGAGGACCTCGGTGGACTTCCTTCTGGAGGAGAGGTTCATCTTGAGCCCACTGCCTCTGGAGTAGAAGACCTCGGTGGACTTCCTTCTGGAGGAGAGATCCATTTAGAGCCCACTGCCTCTGGAGTAGAGGACCTCGGTGGACTTCCTTCTGGAGGAGAGATTCATCTTGAGCCCACTGCCTCTGGAGTAGAGGACCTTGGTGGACTTCCTTCCGGCGGAGAGATTCATCTGGAGACCACTCCCTCTGGAGCAGAGGACCTTGGTGGACTTCCTTCTGGAGGAGAGATCCATCTCGAGCCCACTGCCTCCGGAGTAGAGGACCTCAGTGGACTTCCTTCTGGAGAAGAGGTCCATCTTGAGCCCACTGCCTCTGGAGTAGAGGACCTCGGTGGACTTCCTTCTGGAGGAGAGATCCATCTAGAGCCCACTGCCTCTGGAGTAGAGGACCTCGGTGGACTTCCTTCTGGAGGAGAGATCCACCTAGAGCCCACTGCCTCTGGAGTAGAGGATATCAGTGGACTTCCTTCTGGAGGAGAGATTCATCTAGAGACCACTCCCTCCGGAGCAGAGGACCTTGGTGAACTTCCTTCTGGAGGAGAGGTCCATCTCGAGCCCACTGCCTCTGGAGTAGAAGACCTCGGTGGACTTCCTTCTGGAGGAGAAATCCATCTCGAGCCCACTGCCTCCGGAGTAGAGGACCTCGGTGGACTTCCTTCTGGAGAAGAGATTCATCTAGAGCCCACTCCCTCCGGAGCAGAGGACCTTGGTGGACTTCCTTCTGGAGGAGAGATCCATCTCGAGCCCACTCCCTCTGGAGTAGAGGACCTTGGTGGACTTCCTTCTGGAGGAGAGGTCCATCTCGAGCCCACTGCCTCTGGCATAGAGGACCTTGGTGGACTTCCTTCTGGAGGAGAGATCCATCTCGAGCCCACTGCCTCTGGAGTAGAGGACCTTGGTGGACTTCCTTCTGGAGGAGAGGTCCATCTCGAGCCCACTGCCTCTGGAGTAGAGGACCTCAGTGGACTTCCTTCTGGAATGGAAGGTCTAGAGACCTCTGCTTCTGGAGCTGAGGACCTTAGTGGGTTGCCTTCTGGAAGAGAGGACTTGTTTGGGTCAGCTTCTGGAGCCTTGGACTTTGGCAGAATACCTTCTGGAAGTGGGCAAGCTCCTGAAGCAAGTGGCCTTCCCTCTGGATTTAGTGGTGAGTATTCTGGGGTGGACCTTGGAAGTGGCCCATCCTCTGGCCTGCCGGACTTTAGTGGACTTCCGTCTGGGTTCCCAACCGTCTCCCTAGTGGATACGACATTGGTGGAAGTCGTCACAGCCACCACTGCAGGTCAACTGGAAGGGAGGGGAACGATTGGCATCAGTGGTGCTGGAGAAACATCTGGACTGCCCTTAAGCGAGCTGGACATTAGTGGGGGAGCTAGTGGACTCCCTTCAGGAGCTGAACTCAGTGGCCAGGCATCTGGGTCTCCTGACATCAGTGGGGAAACATCTGGACTCTTTGGTGTCAGTGGACAGCCATCAGGGTTTCCTGACATCAGTGGGGGAACATCTGGGCTTTTTGAGGTCAGCGGGCAGCCATCAGGATTTTCTGGGGAAACATCTGGAGTGACTGAGTTTAGTGGACTGTCCTCTGGACAACCAGATGTCAGTGGAGAAGCTTCTGGAGTTCTTTTTGGCAGTGGTCAACCATTTGGCATAACCGACCTGAGTGGAGGAGCATCCGGGGTCCATGATCTCAGTGGGCAGCCATCGGGGTTGCCGGGGTTCAGTGGGACAACATCTGGAATCCATGACCTGGTTTCCAGTGCCATGAGTGGCAGTGGTGAACCTTCTGGCATTACGTTTGTGGACACCAGTTTGGTCGAAGTGACCCCGACTCCGTTTAAAGAAGAAGAAGGTTTGGGATCCGTGGAACTCAGCGGGCTCCCTTCAGGGGACGCAGACCTCTCGGGCACATCTGGGAGAGCAGATGTCAGTGGACAATCTTCTGGAGCACCTGATTCCAGTGGGCTTACATCCCAGCCTCCAGAACTCAGTGGCCTGCCAAGTGGCGTCGCTGAGGTCAGTGGAGAATCCTCTGGAGCTGAGACTGGGAGCAGCCTGCCCTCGGGAGCCTACGACGGCAGTGGACTTCCCTCTGGTCTCCCCACTGTCTCCCTTGTAGACAGAACTTTGGTGGAATCTGTAACCCAGGCTCCAACAGCCCAAGAAGCAGGAGAAGGGCCTTCGGGCATTTTGGAACTCAGTGGTGCCCATTCTGGAGCACCGGCCGTGTCTGGAGACCATTCGGGATTTTCGGACTTAAGCGGGCTGCCGTCAGGGCTGGTGGAGCCCAGTGGAGAGCCATCGAGTACTCCACATTTCAGTGGGGACTTCTCGGGCACCATTGATGTAAGTGGGGCATCCTCGGCGGCCACGAGCACCAGTGGGGAAGCCTCAGGACTTCCAGAAATTACTTTAATCACTTCTGAGTTCGTGGAGGGTGTTACTGAACCAACTGTTTCCCAGGAACTCGGCCAGAGACCCCCTGTGACATTCACCCCCCAGCTTGTTGAGTCCAGTGGAGAAGCCTCTGCGTCTGGAGAAGCCGGTGGAGCTACGCCCGGGTTCCCCGGGGCTGGAGTGGAAGCATCCTCAGTCCCAGAATCCGGCCATGAGACGTCTGCCTATCCTGAGGCCGGGGTGGTGGCGTCTGCTGCCCCCGAGGCCAGCGGAGGAGCTTCTGGGTCCCCTGATCTGAGTGCAGCCACCTCCGCCTCCCGTGAAGCTGACCTGGACGGAGGCTCAGGCCTGGGCGTGAGCGGCAGCACGTCCCCCTTTCACGAAGGCCCCAGGGAGGGCTCAGCCAGCCCGGAGGCCAGTGGAGTGTCAACCACCACCTACCACGTTGGCACAGAGGCATCAGGCTGGCCTTCAGCCGCCCCCGCGGCTTCCAGAGACAGGACTGACAGCAGCGGAGACCCGTCTGGCCACACCTCGGGCCCAGATGTGGTCCTGAGCACCAGCCTCCCAGAGTCTGAGTGGACCCCGCAGATGCAGCGCCCTGCAGAGGCGCTCCTAGAAATCGAGTCCTCAAGCCCCCTGTACTCAGGAGAAGAGACCCCAACAGCCGAAACAGCCGTCTCCCCGACAGAGGCTTCCATCCCAGCTTCTCCAGGAGGACCAGGTGTATCGGAGACAGCCGTCACAGGTATTCTTAGGATTCTGTTTCTTTAAAGGGGTTTGGGTAGTTCAGACTGTAGCATAGTGGGAGGCTGTGGAGATTGAAGGTTCTGAGCACAGCTCCACCACAGATTAGCTGTGCAGCCTCAGGCAAGTTTCTCAACCTCTCTGAGCCTCATCTGTAAAACGAGAATAGTACCAGGGAAGATTAAACAGGATATAAATATCCAGGAAACAAGCACTTAGCATCACACTTTGCACGCAGTACATACGTACAGATCATTGATGGTTATTGCCACAGTGGCGTTACATCATAAGGACGTTTATATGTGAATGCAGCTCTCCGTACTTGGCACAGAGAGAAGGATGACTGTGTAGATAGTGCTGGAAATTCTGCTCATGCCCCTTTCCCGTGGGGTGAGTGTGAGATGAGAGAATGGATCTACCGATGATGTTTATGCCCAAATAGTCACTTTGTGCAGGGTTAGAACCTGCGCAATTTCAGGAACTACGAAGTGTTATTTTAGCTGTGTCCTGACTTAGACCCAGCATCCCCACCCCGCCTGGCCCGTCACAGGTGGCCCCTCTGTACCGTAGTGATGGCCTCACCTCGACACCCAGCTCCCAGCCCAGAGGCTGGTGATTTCTCCTTTGCTCTCGCTTTGGGGTCCCTCACACCTCCCCATGGCTGAGACCGCCCCCCGTCAGAGAGCCCCCCAGGTGCCGGGCCAGGTGCCCGGGAGGGACTGAGTCCCCTCTCACATGCTCACCTGGAGCCAGCCTCATGGGCGTTGGGGGCCCCACCTCGAGGTCTCAGAGGCTGCGCTGTACCCCAGGCGGTGACATCCAGCCTCTCGCTGGGGAGTGGGGCCCCCCAGGGCCTGTGCCAGGAGCCCTGCGGTGCTGGGACCTGCCAGGAGACAGAGGGACATGTCATGTACCTGTGTCCCCCTGGCCGCACTGGCCAGCACTGCGATGTAGGAAAGACCTCACAGCCTGTGGGGGTGCAGGCAGGGGAGCAAGGGGGTTCCTTTATCCCCAGAAGGGGTTCTGGGGGGGCTGGGGAGGCGACCAGGCTCCCTGAGGCTCAGGCACCTAGGCCTGGGAGGGGGCAGTCAGTGACATGTTGGGGTGGGGGCCACAGAACAGACGTGGCCCATCTTTCTAGAGCGTCTGTTCTCCGCGGCAGTTTAGGAGAGAAAAGTCAAGTGATTAAACTGGTAAGCAGTGAGTTTTTGTCAGGCCAATGACTGATGAGCAGAATGCAAAATGGGCTTAAATTTGGAAGATAAAATCTGAGACTTCAAAGAAATGGGAGAACTGGGGGTAGCTGGTCACACGCCCCACACGCCCCGCAGAGTGACGGGAGGGAAGCTCTGTGAGGGGCTGGCTGCGTCATGCAGAGTAATCCTCCCCAGGAAAGCCCCCACAGTCCCCACCAGGCTTGGGCTGGCTGGGGTTTGGGTCCCCTTCTTGCCTGAAGGAAGTGACACAGACAGTGCTGTCACCCCCAGCTCCCGGCTTCACGACTGCAGGTCAGCTGTGACCCTGCCCCTGGGCACCTGCCACCCTGGGGCCCCTGTTTGGCCCTTGCCGTGGGTCAGGCAGCCTGTGGGACGGGGAGGAGCCTGGGGATCCTCTGATTGGAGGTGACTCCCCCCGCCGAAACGAAATGATTAGAATCTGCCTGTCATTCCCTGAACACCTTGAGACCTGTGGCTTCGTCTGGTCAACATCTCCACCATCGAGGGGGAAATGCCCCGTTACCTCTGAGCTCCTGTTCATGGGTTAGCTGTCTACACCGCTGCCCCAAGCCCTGACCCACGCTCTGTGCAAAGTCAGGAATCATAAAAGGCCTTCATAAAAGGGCTGCGTTCCTAGGACGCAGGCAGAGTTAGAGCCGCAATCCTGGGGGAACCAACCATCGTGTCCTCCAGTAGCCTTGACACGGTCCACAGAGAAGGATTGTGTGTTTCCACGTGTGAATATACGTGCAAATGAGCCCCTGCTGGTGTGTTATATGCTGCTGTGATATACATAGGCCGCACACTTAGCACTTGTGCAGGACACGTGGATGTCCGTATGCACGGGCGCTAGGGTGCGGCTCTATCGCTCTCCCCGCAGTGGGGTCAGCCTCTGCCCCCGAGTGGGGGCCATGACTGAAATCACTCTGTGGGTCCGTGGCCAGAGAGTGTGGGCTCTCCTAGGAAGGTCCTGGCCTTACTGCCAAGGGGACAGTATTTCCACTGGGCCACAGTGGCCCGCACCCCTCCCTCATCCCCCACCCTGACAGGAGGGCGGAGAGCTGCCTCTGTCCTGGGAAAGGCTGCCCCTGAAGAAAACCTGGGGAGACTCTGTGTGTGCTTTCCAGCAAGTGGGGCTCAGGGTCCTCGGTCAGCAGTGGGCCTCGCTGTCCGTCCAGTGAGCAGCGCCCCTGGAGGACGCCGTGCCGGGTCTGCAGACACCTCCTCCCCGTCTGCGTGCGTGGGTGGAGAGCAGGTCGGCTCAGTCGGCCAGCTCAGCCCGGCTCAGTGAGGAGCAGACACAGTGTCCACCAGGGCTTGTGGGACCTGGGCAGCCGCCGGGACCAGACCCCCTTGCCCTCTCTCAGTCTCTCTGATGCCCCCCTCCATTCTTACAACGCCTTCCCCAGCCTGAGGCTTGAAGCGAAAATGTGACACTATCAGAAGCCACAGCAAGCCTTGTGTCCCAGCTCTCCTGAAATTAGAAGTAGGTGACAGTGGACCTTAACTAATCTGCTGTAAGGACAGCCTTTCTCTAACCGTGTATGTTTCCGAAGGACGTTCTTTCCCACGATTTCTTCCCACACAGCTCTGGGAGTAGCTTGACAATCATCCCCATCTGAACCTGCAGCACAGAGAGGCTAAGTAATTTTTCTAACTCCGCTGAGTGAGTCGAACCAAGAATTGAGGTCTTAATGCACTTGTTTCACACACCCGGCTAAATAAGAAAGTCCCTCTTGAACATAATAACCGGTTGCTGGTCGCGAAGAGCTAGAGGCTGGACTTCAGGGGACCAGCGTGGAGACAGGCTGTAGAATTGGGGTGGGGCCCCTTGGGCACTCCCGACCAGGCCCTCACTACCTTGTTTGTAAACAGGCTCAAAGCCGATCGTTCTCGGCTTTGAAAACTCTGGTGCCTGGGTCCCCTGCCCCGATTCTGATGGAAATGGTCCTGAGACCCTTGCACTGGGGCTTTTCAAACTCCTGGTGACTCCAGTGTGCAGCCAGAGCTGAGCGACCTTGCTGTGAGGATCAAGGTCATCAGTGGGCAGCATCTGGCAGGGGGAGGCCTTAAGGAATGTTGGTTCCGCTCTCCCACCTCTTGCTCCTCTGGTTAGCCAAAACTTTATCATCTCTAAGGAGCAAGTGGTGAGGGTCACCCGCCTGGGGTCTCATTGCCCGTGACTCCGCCCCTGGGATCCCAGGTCACTCCTGCTCCACTGAGCTCAGCGCAGCTCCCAAAGGACCACAGACGGTGTCTGGTCCCCACAGGTGCCCCGCCCGTCGTCTCTGACTAGAACCAGGAACCCCAGGTTGTTGAAAGACCATGGACGAGCGTGCTCCGGGGCCATAGGTAGCAAGCGCTGGCATTATTGCTGTGGCAAGACTGAATACTCAGGGAAGACCCGCACCTGGTAAAGGAGGTCGGAGGCTGTATTTTGTCCTAAAAGAAAACACTTGACACTTCCTGTCATCTTGTTTAGGCAGCCCTCCATAAACGAGTTCTTGATAAACTGTGCATCTGTCCTCTTGGCATCCAAACAAACATCTGTTTAATGAATTCTCAGATCTTCAGCAGCTAAAAGCAGGGATGTTCTATTCGGATTGGCTTCAAAAGCCACAGCTTCTTTCCCACTTCCACTGCTTATATTTCCTCTGGGGGTGAGATTTCTGACTCCGAGGTTTCCATCCTGGCTGCTCCTTAGAATCACCTTGGATGCTTCTAAAAAGCCCCACGCCTGGGCCCCACCCCAGAGGCCCCAATTCAGTGGGTCTGGAGGTGGACTCCGGCATGCGTGTTTTTTTTTCAAATCTTTAAATAAAAAAAGTTTCTTGAATTACCACCGTGGTTCTGATCGGCAGCCAAGGTTGAGAAATGCTGTTCTAATCAGATCTCACGTGCAGTTTTCCAGCCCTCGCGGTGCTGCGTGGCTTTCTCTAGACCCCTTGGGTAGAAGAGCGTGAACTTAAACTTTAAGCAGCCTCATTTCTGTTTTACTGCTATTTGTCACTTCATAGGTCCGGGGCTCTGATCTATGATCTGACATTGTCCCTTCCCCTACTGGGGACATGTTTGAATTTCAGTTAAACCTTATCCCTGGGGGGGAGGGGCGGGTGGGTAGGGGAATCTTTCAAAGCAAGTGAAAATAGAGGCTTATAAGTCAAAATACAAGTCACACCTTCTTGTCTTCTTGACTTGACTTAACCAACAAGTCCATGGGCAGATTTTAACTAATCGAATTTAAGAAGCAGGGCATTCAAGTTACATTCAAGATCAAACTTTAAAAATACAAAAGACTTGATAGTATAAATAACTATAGTACACTTTTTAACTGAATGATTTTTACTTTAAAGGCAAATTGGAACTGATAAATGTGCTCTTATAATCCGTCTATCAATTGTGATAGAGTAAATCTGTATTTACTCAAGTCTGTCCCATCCTGATTGATCCCAGTTCTTTACAGAGTACAGAACATCCATTGAGGTAAGAAACTTGTCTCTGTGCTTCTTGAGGGGATTTTCCCCCATCCTTATCCAGGAAAGTTTGTCCAGGGTCGCCACATACAGCTGCACGGGTTGTGCACTGAACAACTGGAGGGGTACCATTCATGTCATAATCTTTATGAGTGGCAGTCCCTTTAGTTGGGTATTGCTTGAGTAAAAGCACCTGCTGCCACTCTTCAGTCAACTTTTTCTATAAGTCAAATAAACTCTCTCATTTGGAGGTCCTGGCAAAAGCTGGACAAGACCTTTTCAGGGTGGAGGGCTGAGGTGTCCAATTCAGA